AGAGTGGCTCCACCTGCGGCTGCCTTTAGATAAAGACAGAGCCTGCTCTCAGGTCTCCCACCCCACATCTCCAGTGGGGCCCTCAGCCTAGTTCCTCGCATTTCCCCCTCCCACCACCCCCTGCTCACTTTGCCTGCAAAGGGGTTCTGCCCCTTTAAATACTAAAAACCGCTAAAGTTAAACTTCAGCAAAATAGCTGCTGCCTGCCAGTTTCTTGTTGCCGCCTCAGTGCTTCCTGTTGAGCTTGGCCGCTGCTTGCCAAGACAGCTCCAGGGGCCCTGGGCTGGGAGAAGGATTACAGGCAGCCCCACCAGCCCCACCGGGAAATGGGGAGGGACAGGGCTGGAAAGGACCTGGAGCTCCAGGCCTCTTGCTGCCTCTGACCTGCTTCTAAATGGACTTCACACAGTGCAGAGGTAGACCAGGGATCCCCTCCCACAAGAGCAGCCATGGCCACCCACCGGGATGGCTTCAACAGAGGATGGGGCTGTCAGTGGCCTGTAGCCACAGGGACAGTATTCTGAATGCCCCTTGCTAGGAATCACAGGTGGGGCGAGGGCTGCTACCCTGGGGTCCGGCTTGCAAGTTTCCCATAGATCACACAGTGCTAGACTTGGGTGTTTGTTTTGATCCAGCAGGGCTCCTTTTAGGTCCTTAATTGCTGGTTCTTTGGTTGCCATCTTGTTTTTCTTCAGTTCTTACAGGGCAATCTTTGCCAACCTGGTACCCTCCAGATGTTTTAGGCCAGGCATAGGCAAACTCAGCCCTCCAGATGTTTTGGGACTACAACTCCCATGATCCCTAGCTAGCAGGACCAGTGATCAGGGATGATGGGAATTGTAGTCTCAAAACATCTGAGGGGCGAGGTTGAGGAAGCCTGGGTTGGCCAAAGCTGATATAGGACATGTTTCTCCTGTTTGAAAGGAGCTGTGATGAAATCACAGGCGTGGGGCGATTTCTGGCCAGATTCTGTGTGTGGAATATGCAGAGAGAGAGCAGGGCATCAGTGGAGCCAGTTTGTATCTCGGTGTTGGGGGTGTAGGAAATGAGGCTGATTTGGACCGTTGTGCTTTATGTGGCAAGGCAGGGCTTCTGTAAAAAAATAGTTTGTGAATTCATTCAGAATATTAGATCTATAGTCATTGATCCCCCCCCCATTTGCTGTCTTCCCCAATTAAAATCTCCCCTCTCCCTTCCAGCTGTTCTGTGCCCCACAAGATAGCTATAAGGTTTTCCTCTATGGAAAATAAGCAACTTGCAAGCTCATTTAAAGTACTGGAGAAAATATTAGAGATCAGGCTACGTCTTAAATGTGAAGTGTTCATTAGCTGTGCAAACTAGCATTTCATCCCGATATCGTTAATCTTCTAAGGCGGGTATCTCATGCTGCTGCACCTTTCTCTTCTGGCCCTGAGCGATGGGTGGAGAGGCCCAGTTGACATTTGAGCTTGAAATAGAGAATAGCAACATATGCTTACACACCACACTTTTTATTGTGAGCTGTTGATATTCCAAGGAGATAAGTTACAATATATTTTAAATCATTTCTGGCCAATTTGAAAATTAGTGTAGAGTTTGAGCTGGTGTTTGAACTCAAGTTGTTGAATCACGAATTTGCATGCCAAATTAATATTAATTTGCTCTGATTCAAAGATTATTGGCTGCAGCAGAGTATAGGGGAGAAATCCCCATACTCTCATCTGCCCAACAGATGGCTGATTGGGTTGAGAGATCACAGAAGGTGGATCAAGTTTGCAAGGTTGCTTGAGTTCAAAATGTGAGAGAAATGCTGGTGCTAAGCATGAGAACAGAATGATTTGTCCAAGAGCCTCAGCTGAAGATCTCCCGGGTCCATTTCCAACATCCCCATTTGCTCAGCCATGCGCTCTCTCTCACTGTACCTCCATTTTTTCCAACCCAGCAGCCCTCTGCCTGACCGCAGCGCCTATCCTTCCACAGGACAAAGCCTCTCTGTGGCTCAGGGCCACTTACCAGCCAGCCCTAGAATGGAGAAAGGAAGCCCAGGTGTTGCCAGGAATAACTGGAGCAGCTCTCCACCCAGGAATGGTATGGCTCCGAATTTGCATGTGCTCCTTATGGGAACTAGCGAAACTTCAAAGAGACTTACGGAAGTTCTTCTGATGGTGGAGATGTTCTTGTTCGCTTTGGAAAACGCAGGTGTACCTTCCTAAGGGATGGCTCTGGCTCCTAAAGCAGGATGCTTATTGTCCAGATCAGAGCAGCCGTTGTCATCGTAAGTGGGGGAATCTGTGAGAGCTAAAGCCCCTCTCTGAGTATGGAATTGTGGGCATTGGGTGCACTCTGTATGTTTGCACACAACAAGCGCTGTGCAGGTGCGCCCTTATTGCTGTGCCATTGATGGAGGAACTGAGGTGGTTCAAGCGTTGTGGCAGGGGGAACATATACTCCATGTCAGAATGTAAGTAGGAACTGCATCCTTGAAAGCTTCCCATATTCAACAACTCCCTGCAGCTGAAAGGTAGCATATCAAGGAGAAGGCTCATCTAGAACCCTCCTTTCAGATATGCTGGATTTCTACATGTAGGGAAATTTGGTTTTTAAAAAACCTTAGACGACCCACATCTTCTATCTTCATTATGAAGTGGTTGGTCCTAAGAGAACTATCTGAGCCGCATGCCCTCTCGCAAATGTTTGAATCTGCTCAGAGATGTATATGTGGGAAGTGATCTACCTAAATATGTAACAGAACTAAGAGTAATACCAATTCCTCCTTTTTTCCACCATGATGCCCAACCCACCCACTCACCAAGGCCTGGCTTGCTAATAAGATGCACCCAAGTCTACAAACATTTGGTTTGAAATCCTTAGTTTGTGTTGGAAATGTATCTTAGTTATGGCTGATGGCCAGCTGTTCTACTGCCCAGGGCCAGATTCATCCTGAGAGGAATGTGAGGCTTTAGCTTGCCCAGTAGCCTTTCTCTTTAACCCTGAGTGTATGCCAGACTAGATTTGGTGATTCAGTCGTGAAGGCAAAACACTCTGCACATGCCTAGAGGTACTCATCTCTAGCTATCCCACAGCTGCTTGCCATGTTCTGAGGCCTAACCTTGAATTTTGACTTCCAGAAGTGTGCTATGGTTCAAGTTAAGTTCCGCCTTTTCTTCTGACTTTGACCACCACAGTCCTCTGGAATATATGTGGGCATCCCTTTGGGGGGGAACACTGGTTATCCCAGCTGTTGTCTCATTCTTTTCACACAGATCCTCTGAGACTTGTTGGGATAAGCCCCTTTCTTGATTCTTCAGAAATTGTCCTGGATAGTCCCCCAAAGAGAGATGAGAAGAAGGTGAGATGTGGCTTCCACCCGAGAGGAGATGGATGACGGGTTTTGTTTACACAACTGGACTGGGTTTATCATTGGACATCTTTGCACTAGACATAAATTCATTTAGCACATATTCCATCTCCTAGGAAGCCCTGCGGGGTGTAGTTCTGTGAGAGCCTCTCAGACGCTGTAGCTGATAATCTTCTCCATGCTACAATCAATTCCCAAGATTTCTTGCTGGAAACTTTGACCATTGGAACTGTTATAATACAGTGGTACCTCGGGTTACATACGCTTCAGGTTACAGACTCCGCTAACCCAGAAATAGTACCTCGGGTTAAGAACTCTGCTTCAGGATGAGAACAGAAATCGCGTGGCCCCATTAGCTAAAGTGGTGCTTCAGGTTAAGAACAGTTTCAGGTTAACAACGGACCTCCGGAATGAATTAAGTACTTTACCTGAGGTACCACTGTACTATTAGGAAATTGTAATGTATATATAGCTACTTTTATGGTCCAATTTTCCCTCAAACCAGGCTAAATTTCTTAAACATAATGAGCTGTGCCCAGTGTTCTCTGTACAACAGCTGCACTAGCACAACAAAGTTATCAGCAACCTCCTTATTCTGTTGGTGCAAAATATTTTGCCAGGGGAACAAGCATACCTCTAAGTGACTTGTAATGTAGTGCCAAAGTGGATACAACCACTTAAAAATATTCTTAATATCTTAAAATGTTAGCTTCTATGTCATCTTAGTGTAATTGTTAAACATCGTCATCATTATTATTATTACATTTTATATCCTGCCCTTCATCCACAGATCTCTGGGCAGTTCACAATATAAAAATACAGAATAGAAGGACAAAATAAATAGTTAATATAAAAACAAAACAGAACTTGTTTTCCTTGTAGCATATTCTGCTGCTCTGAGCAACGGGCCATATTCATACAAATGGTTGGTTTGGGCAGCAAATTATTAATCTGCTGCAACTTCTGTTCTTCTCCCACTAAGAGCAAAATTGAATTGATGAGGGACGAATGCTGCAGGCTTTACTTTAAAAAGGCTTATGCACCGCAGTGTTGTGGGGCTTTTTGGCAATTGCCAGTTTAGGACTAGTCCAGCTGTCCACCCTTTCTATAAGTGAGGCACAATGGAAGAGAATCCGGGAATCTTTTGCAGGAATTTGGTCAGGACAAATCCTCTCTAGCTGGGAATGTTTGCATGCTCTTAAAGAGAAATGAAGGGTGTAGAAGTGCATGAATTAAACCCCTACAAAGAGTGCCTAAATGTGTTTTTTTCTCATCCATGTGAGCCTCGTTTCGTTTTTACTCCAAGGGTTGCCTGTGGCTTAGTGAGTCTTGTTCACTTCTGGCACTTGTGATTCAGGCCAGAGATTTTCAATGCCATTATTCACTTGGTTTTGTGTTGTGCTGGCAAGATGCCCAGGTTCCCTTTTAAAACCTGATGGCTTTGAATTGCATCTTTTAACTCCATGTCTCCTTTTAAATAGTTTTCTCCTCTTTCCAGATGAAAGCTGCTCGGCTCAAATTTGACTTCCAGGCAGAGTCGCCAAAGTGAGTCGCAATACTGGTAACCTTTTGGCATTCACACAATGCTGGGTCACTTGGCATCCTCATTACGATTTTTAGTCATCTTTGTTAATTAATGCAGCACCATTTGCATCAGAGTTGGGGAACCTGTGGCCCTTCCCATGTTCTTGACCATTTGCTGTGCTGGCTGGGTTGATGGTCCAAAAACCTATGGGAAGCCACCAGTTCCCCAGCCTTGCTCTGCTAGCAAAGAAAGTCAGGGCTCTGCCCTGGGAAACCTGACACCAAAAGACAACAGAAGAGAGGCAAAAGGAAGGGCGGAAAGGCTGAGGCAAACAATGAACATGATCAGGTGCAGTTTCATGTTCTTAGGCTTTTGTTTCTTACACTCCCTAAGGCTTAATTTCAGGTGGGAATAAATTTAAGTCAAAGGGTTTATGAGAAAAGTGGGATCTGAGGACAGATTTGAAGTGGGAGAGAGAAGTGGCATTGTGAGCTGCAAAGGGCGGGTGTGCTGTTTCACGAGTTCACCTCCTGATCCGTATCCTCTCTCTGTAAAGAGTTGGTGTCAGCAACTCGAAGAGGAGGCAATTTGTCCAATTGAAATGAGCAGCTTTAAGGAGAGAATATTCCTAATGGAGGTCCATGATGCATCTCTGACAGTGGGACTTTGCCATTTGATTTTTCAGGGAACTGACTTTGCAGAAGGGTGACATTGTCTACATTCACAAGGAAGTGGATAGAAACTGGCTGGAAGGAGAACACCATGGCAGGGTGGGCATTTTCCCTACCAACTATGTGGAGGTAAGTATATCTTGCTATTCCAGGAGAAGGCTTCATTTGATAAACTGAATACATTTTTGTTCAGTATGTAGAAGAGAAGGGAGATAGCAGATTTTTTTTAGCAATCTGGACCTCCATCTGCTTTTAGATTCAGGCAAGATTAGTGGTAGTGGGAGAGGGTCTCATTTTCAGCAAAAATATCCTCTATTTTTGTTTCAGTCCATTATTTTGCTAATAATAATAATATAATATAAATACCCCAGGTAGCTAAACTCAAGGGTTGATCAAGTCTAGGATCACTAACAAGAGTTCCAGTGGTCCTGGGTATTAACATCACACTATCAGTGCATAAGGTGGTTTTATAGAGTAACACAACCAAATGCCAGGTCCCTGCCCCAAGCAGCTTACAGGCCTAAATTCAAGCAGCTCTGGCAGGGGGGAGGAGGGCAACCAAAGGGAGGGAGATTCAATGTTAACAAGGGACAAAGTGAACCACTGCTGCGTCTGAATACTGCTCATCCCTCTCGTCTGTGTTGTCTGGCAGTGACTCCAGTGTGGCCGTGGGAGTCTTTCCCGGCTGGATCTGGAGATACTTGGAGGATTGAACCTTTTGGGTGCAATGCATGGGCTCTGGCATGCAGCAGCCGTCTCTTGAGTTGGGCAATGAGGACTAAGGGGTTAAGCCAAGAGCTTCGAAATAGTGGAGGGTTTGCGCTAAGCTTAGAAGGAAGGAAGAGAGGTGGCCCCCTGTAGCATCCTGCAAGAAGTGGATATATAAAAAGAAAAATAACAGGCAGAGTGTTTCAAAGCAAAGGAACAATGTTTTCATACAGGACACAGATAATCTGTAGAATTCAACTGCCATGTGTACCTTTTTGAAGGCCACTATTAATATAAACTAACAAACATTCGGGGGGGGGGAGGACAGCGAGTACTAGAGTGGGGCACAGAGTATTCCCACCCCCTAGTGGGGTGGAGTGAAGGTTGGGCCCCACACAGTGTTGGGGAAGAGAGAGTCTTTGTTTCCACAGTAATTGTATCTTCAGATGCACCACTTAATTTCCTTTAGGTGGTAGCCATTCACTCCTATGGAGAAAGCATCTGAGCAGTCATGTGCTTCAACCTGCTTCTGGGGCTCCTAGAATTTGGGAAGGAGGACCTGGTTTTGCTCCTTACACAGCACACTTGCCAGTATTAGCCTTTTCTGTTTTGACTCACTAAATGTAAGCCATTGAGGGGGTCTGTGATCTATTCCTTGTTCTGATGTTAAGTCCAGTGATGGAAGACTTGGAATTCACTTATTTGCATGTGTTTGGGAAGCCAAAGTCATCCCACACATCTGTTATGGCACACAAATATGGGGATCTCTTCAAAAAATGAATCTGGAAAAACCCTAGAATAATATCTTGTGCCATTTCTGAGCTCCCCCAAGGCAACTGAGTCTTTCATTCTCGGTTTGTTCAGTGGAGGCCAGCGTGCATCTCCTTGCCCTTATACATTGACTAAAAATTTAAAAAGGGGATTTGGCCCATTTTAGTACTTTCTACTTTCAATGAGATGTTGAGGTCTTAGCCATTCCATTGGAATCAGGAAATGCTACTAGTTATTGATAAGTGTGGCCTTTCTTTGGACAGTCTGAGTTCATTAGACTTGAGATAGCATCTCACCACATGAAATCTCATATTTTAAAGCATGATTTTTGTGCTGATTGCACTTCTGCCTGTCTGTCCAAATGTGCCCCTTTGTATGCCGGACTACCCTTCAGATTCCTTGCCCTCACTTTGCAACCTGCATTGCAGATATCCTATTTATAGCCCTGGGGCTCCAGTCTGTGCCGTAGCTGAAGAACGCTATAGCCCCGTCCCCTAGGAGGAGGTCGTGTGCCTGAGGATTTGCACTCACTACTCGTTGGTTTGCCCAACCCACGAGGACTTAGGAGCAGCCTTGTTCAAAGATGTAAATCTCCCAGTGGGGTATTCGGTTAACTTTGATTAAGAAACAGATCTCCCTACACCTTTGAGAAAGGGGCCTGTTGTGCCTTTAGGGCAGCAGGTTTAAGGAGAAATGTTTGTGAGGAGGATAAGTTAGATTCTTCAGGGGAGCAAACTCTTACCTGGCAGAATGTCTGGCTTTAATAATTACTTTAATGTGTAATGTACTTTATTCTGTTTTATGTATTTATATTTTGTAATGACTTTGGCTTGACTGACTGAATAAATGATGAATGAAATGTTGGCACGGATTCATGCAGAGGTCGTGGAATTCCAGGCACGCCAAGGAGTGGGCCAGTGGAGGGAGAAGGCAAGGCACTCCATCCCTCTTCTGCACCAGCACAGGCAGATGGAGGGGAGAGAGGCCCCCCTTCTTCAAACAGCAGCGGTGGGGAAGCTTTTTTAGGCCAAGAGTAACATTTCTTTCTGGGCTACAACAAGGGAGTGGTGGGCAGGACCAAAAGCAGACAAGGACAGAGTGATAGACGTTAACTCTCCCCTTGTGCATTAGGCTAGTTCTACACGTAGTCACACACACAACACACACACACACACACACACAGAGTCCTCTTTCGAGGCAAGCAAAATGCATTATCAGAGCTCAGGAACACATTCTAGGCAGATAAAGACATTCAAGAAAGGGTACAAAGCAAGCCAGTGAGGGGTGTGGGCCTGAGGCGAGTCCCAAAGGCCAGAGAGAAAAAGAGAGAGAGAGACCTGGACAGCCACACTTGACCCTGGACTTAAGGCAAACAGCACAACATGCAGCAATTGCTGGAGACGGAGGAAAGGACCACTCTGTCCTTCTCTGCAGCCCCTAGGAGACTGGTAACATCTTACAGACTAGTAGCTTGTGTGGGCTTATTTGCAGAGCAGGACTGAATCCAGAACCACTTGTGCCAGGCCACTGCTTGTCTTCCCAATAGGTCCTGCCTCCAACAGAAATCCCCAAGCCGATCAAATCCCCACCATCCAAGTCCTGGAGTATGGAGAAGCCGTAGCTCAGTACAACTTCAAGGGTGACCTGGCAGTGGAGCTGTCATTTCGGAAGGTACAAAACGAAGCAAAAGAACGGGGTTGGGTGAGGGTGGAGTGGGAGTGGGAAGCCCAAAGATGGGCAGAGAGAGGAATTCCAGCTCAGGATGGGGCCGGGGCAAAGGGCGCCAGAGCCTGCTGCCCCCACTGCCTCGTGGGCTCCAGGCCAGCTCATTCCTCTCTAAACAGATGTTCAGTTGTCTGTTTCTGCTTCTCATAAAACTGAGCTCACAAGACAGTCAGTGACATTTTAGTGCCTCGGGCCAGAAGATCCAAACGGCGTCTCCCATGGTGATGAAAATGTAATAAAAAATGCAATAAATTGACAATTTCAGTGCCCCTTTTCATGGTAACCCCCAATCTGTTTTCACAGACAGGCCACCTTCCATCTTGTCTCACAGCAGAGCCGGCCCTGAGTGGGCTATTATATTCTGCTTGCTGTTGCTGACTCACTCCCACCAAACCCCGTCCGCATCCCCAAGAAAACTTCTGGGAGTTCTGCACGAAGATAAATTAGACAAAGACATTTGTATAGCTTGCTTGAACGTGAATTAAAAAAGGTAAAGGTACCCTGCCCGTACGGTCCAGTTGTGTCCGACTCTAGGGTTGCGCGCTCATCTCGCTCAAGAGGCCGGGAGCCGCGCCGTCCGAAGACACTTCCGGGTCACGTGGCCAGCGTGACGAAGCAGCAGCTGGCGAGCCAGCACCAGCGCCGCACACGGAAACGCCGTTTACCTTCCCGCTATAAAGCGGTACCTATTTATCTACTTGCACTTAGGGGTGCTTTCGAACTGCTAGGGGGCAGGAGCTGGGAACCGAACGACAGGAGCTCACCCCACCGCGGGGATTCGAACCGCCGACCTTACGATCAGCAGGTCCTAGCACTGAGGTTTTACCCACAGCGCCACCCGCGTCCATGAATTAGATTTTACATAATTTACAGACTTTGTTCTGAACTTTTTTTTTTTTTTTTTTTTGGAGTTGGTGCTTAATTTGGTGGTATTTTACAAAGTGTAACAGGATAATAGCAAGAAAAAAGATATGGGAAAGTGGAGTTTTTATGGGACAAAGACTCTTGACTAGAAGCAAAGTAAGATGGAGGGACAGGTCACTCTGCAGAACTGAGATGTGCAGTTCCTAAATACAGGATTTTTTATGGATGCTGCCTGAACATGTGTCACACTCAATAAGAACTAGAAACTTGTTGTTTTTACAAAAAGAAACTCGTCTATTTTGTAGAGAAGCCAAAATTTTGCATTGATTGGCAATTAAGGTTTCACAAGGAGAAACCTTGTAAAAATACGGACTTCCAAATATGATTCCCCCTCCCCCAATGTTAGGCCTAGTTTTTCGTCTGCTGGTTCAGCCAATGATAAAGTCAGTTTTGTTGTTGCTGGACTGAGCTATGAAATTGAGCTAGGTCCTCTGACAACCTACTGGGTGCTAGAGGAAATTTGGCAGCTTCCTCCCGACAGACCACCAGCACTGCCCAGTTTGGACTTAGCATTGCTCTGAAGTTTCCATTCTCAGCATACCTTTA